TTCGGTACATGCATTTCGACTAAAATATACAGTGGATAGGACAAAATACAGTTCGTTTCATCCGTTAGTTCTTTTTGTTTTATTACTATAATGAACTTCATCTGATATATAAACTGTGGACCCGTGAAGGTCCGGGCTAGAATATGCTTGTTGTAAGGGGCGACTAACTGGATCGGGTGGTCAGGCTCGCTGACTTGGTTGACACATGTCATCAGTTCCCAGTTGCGCAGATCGATGCTCATGCTGTTGATCACTGGATTGTCATGTCCAGACTCGATTATTTACAGACTGCCGCCATATAGCTGGAATATTGCTGAGTGCGGCGTAAAAGTCACTCTTAATTTGTTAAACACGACGTTTAGGAGTTGATTCTTACTCCTGCACTTTAAACGTCGTGTTTAGCAAATAAAGAAGTTGATATCCAAACAATCATTGACTCATGTTCGTTAGTCCTTAATGTCCTTCAAAGAACTCAACTTGGCTTCTGTTAGTGTTCATTATGAACAGTATAATGAAGGAACAGAAGCATATAGCTGGAATATTGCTGAGTGCGGCGTAAAACTAAAATCACTCACTCACTTTAAACTGTGAATATGTGAATAGTACACGGTGCAACCACAAATCGAAAATAGACATATCTGTTGATATTGAGGATGGCCACAAATCTATGTATTGCGTTTTCCAAATCATATCTCTTTGGAATTCAAGCTTGAATGACGGGCATGTGTAAAACAGAAAGTGACAGACGAATTACAGATATTACATTATTTTTAAAACACAAGAATTAGAAATACAACTGATTCTCAAACTTCGAGTTCGTTAAGAATACGAGCCCCCGCCCTATACAATAAATGTGACATCATACACCCACATCATACATGTTTGTTCTCATCACGTGGACGGACAACAATTCAAGATGTGACATCATACAAGACAATACCACTTCAAATACTTCTCAGATGCATGTATTTCCTAAGCCATTAATACAACGATGCAACAACCATTGATTCCTACACAAATACCTTTAATACCACCTTAAGTGCACTTAGTACCCAATACAACTCCACAAGGACACGTAGAACCTTAACGTATTTTCTGTTCTATGATGTCATACTTTAAAACAGTATCATCGATCAAGGTAATACTCTTTGGTCTATGTTTCAGCTTGAGAAAAACAAACAAATATAAACTGCTGTGCAATGTTAAAAATCGTGTGCAAATTCCAAAATTTCTTTGGAACTTGAGTACAAACGTTGCACCAACACGGAACAAAATACAGTGCAGTGCTATCATACGTCATCTCCTTCGACGAATAAAGAAACTGCACGTCATAAATCCTGACTCGCTGACGACTCACAATATTCTTGTTTGAGCCAGAACATATTGGCAGAGCTGATGGAAGTTCCGCCCAGAATATCGGCAGTTTTCCCCTTGCAACTTCATCACCTGCAAAACAATATGAACTCGGTATCATACCGTAGACGGCGGTTGGGTAGCCTAGTGTCCACGTTCTAGGATCTAGTGGATATTTTAAAATTAGTTGCTCTCAGATGCAATTTCCAGCGTTCTGAAGGTAAAATGACTCGATTTATGTAATTTCCAATGTTATATAAATTATTATTTTTTCCTGCTACGTTTGATCAATTTATTTCATGTTTTTCCAAAATGTTTCTTTGTTCACCATTGTAGCATCTGTGTATAATGTTCTGACTTTAATTTTATAAAGATGTTTAGACATATCTGTATATATGCAAAACAACTGTTTTGGTCAGTTTAAGTGAGTGAGTGAGTTTAGTTTTACGCCGCTCTCACAGCACTATTCCAGCTATATGGCGGCGATCTGTAAATAATCGAATCTGGACCAGACAACATGAGCATCGATCTGCGCATTTGGGATTCGATGACATGTGTCATCAGTTTAAGTATCAATATACAATAGCTGTATTATCAAATTCATATACATGATGTCTTTGTTCAATATTTGGAGTCATGTGGATTGAATGTAATCCTTTTTCTAATTAAGTCTTTTGTTCGTTAATTATCATTAGGTATCATTCCTTATTTTATTTATTAAAGGTTATTGTAATCATATGTAATTAGGTGTATCATTCTGGTACCGATCATCTGTAATCTTTGCGTCATTAATTGACGTGTGAATTTCAGGGCTGCGGAGGGGATATACGACACTCAAAAGAGTGTTATATTAATATTTTGATGTAAAACAATTATCTGTAAAAATATTCTTGGGGGGCAGCTGCCACCCTGACCCCCCGGGCTACCTACGGCCCTGGTCTTGAAATATATATATAGAACTTCAGTGCAAAGAGAATACAAAGTCTGACGCTGCAATAAGCCAGGTCCCTGCGCTTTCCTTATTATCATCCATATGGTGAAACATAACCAGTGTCAAATATATCATATGTGCACATGTGCACATATCACATCTGCCCAGCAACCCTTGTTTCTGTATTTCGTCGTCTGTGACGTCACTTGCTTACTGCACAAATGTACATGCAAAAAAATGCATAAAAAAGAAATTATTACACTCGAGCAAGTGTGTCATATGACGTGTACGAAACTCGTGCAAAATAATGCGCAACGTAGTACACAATTTCACAGCGCGTTTCGTGTAAGTCGTATCACACACATGCTCGTGTAATAATCTCAATATATCATTTTTCTGTTCTGTCGGACCCTGGGTAACTCGAAGGGTATACATGGCCGCTTTAACTTAACAGTGGTTAACTGTCTTTGAGTTACATCATGGAGTATAAGCATCCAGTGACACTGAATTTCAAGGGTTGGGATTGGCGGGTGAGATTAATCAAATGAAAATGGTTTGTTCAGAATGAATGAGTATTGTTTTGCGGCTTATCAGCACTTGTCCAGCTATTCTAGGCGAGGGCTTGTTCAGATATATGCCAGAGACGTACCAAAGGTCATTGGTGTCGCAGTTTTACACAACACAGTAAGGGCATCATTGTTTTAATGTGTTTCACGTAGCCACCAAATTCTGAACATGGGTCGGTCAGAAAAAACCCAAAAAACTCAAAGAACTTAATAAAGACGACAAAATTATCTGATTAATGTTTTTGATTGTCTTTTATTGTAATTCTTTTTACATTTTCTCGCGTTCTTTGGACTTGTGGTAGCGACTGATTATAAGATAAACATTATATATGAGTAGGCGGTATGTTTTAGGTTCGTGTCGGCGGTGTTGGAATGAAGAAATATGTTTTTTTTCTTTGTTTTTTTAGTGTGTGTGTGTGTGAGGGGGTGGTGGAAATAAAATTAGAAGGGTCGAAGATGAGAAACACAGAAAATAAATATGCTGCCCTAATGAGCAGAGAGAGACTGGTATGTTTAAACGCATACTTCCATTTGCTTAAGCAATTTGGTGCAACCTTACCATCATCATTGTGGCAGTCTTTATCCGACAGGTCACTGAGTGAGTCTGATCTGCGGCTGATTGGCTTGATGTCTTCATGGCCCGTGAGCCAGTACGTCTTGATACGACCGCCGAACACTGTCTTCAGCTCCCAGTCATCCTGTACCAGATTACCAGGGTTAAACAGTTGTTGTGTCGCATTTCCTGTCATTGGTCATTAAAGGTGCAACATTTTACCGCTTTTTGGTCGACGTTTGGGACTCCTATGTTTGGTCAGGAACGGTGCAAAGTTTTATCGCCTTGGGTCGACATTTTGGATTCCTAGTACTGGCCACGAACGGTGCAAAGTTTTATCACCTTAGGTCGGCGTTTGGGATTCCTAGTACTCGCCAAGAACGGTGTAACGCTGTCGCTTTGGGTCTAAGTTCAGGGTTCCTAGTACTGGTCAGAAACGGACAAACGCTATATCGCTTTGGGTCCACGTTTGGGATTCCTAGTACGGGTCAGTAACGGTGCAACATTATATCGCTTTGGGTGGGTGTTTGAGATTCCTAGTACTGGTCAGAAACGGTGCAACATTATATCGCTTTGGGTCGGTATGTTGGATTTCTAGTACTGGTCAGAAACGGTGCAACGCTATATCGCTTTGGGTCGGTGTTTGGGATTTCTAGTACTGGTCGGAAACGGTGCAACGCTATATCTCTTTAGGTCGGTGTTTGGGATTTCCAGTACTGGTCAGAAACGTAGCAACATTATATCGCTTTGGGTCGGTATGTGGAATTTCTAGTACTGGTCCGAAACGGTGCAAAGTTTTATCGTCTTAGGTCGGTGTTGGGATTCCTAGTACTGGTCAGAAACGGTGCAACGCTATATCGCTTTGGGTCGGTGTTTGGGATTTCTAGTACTGGTCGGAAACGGTGCAACATTATATCGCTTTGGGTCGGTGTTTGGGATTCCTAGTACTGGTCAGAAACGGCGCAACGCTATATCGCTTTGGGTCGGTGTTTGGGATTCCTAGTACTGGTCGGAAACGGCGCAACGCTATATCGCTTTGGGTCGGTGTTTGGGATTTCTAGTACTGGTCGGAAACGGTGCAACATTATATCGCTTTGGGTCGGTGTTTGGGATTCCTAGTACTGGTCAGTTACGGTGCAACATTATATCGCTTTGGGTCGGTGTTTGGGATTTCTAGTACTGGTCTGAAAGGGTGCAACGCTATATCTCCTTAGGTCGGTGTTTGGGATTCCTAGTACTGGTCAGAAACGGTGCAACGCTATATCGCTTTGGGTCGGTGTTTGGGATTTCTAGTACTGGTCACACGTTGCAACGATAACCAAACAATGAATACACAGATAGATATTGCGATTAAGACAATATAAGATTACGTATGCATAATGACTTCTTATGCCTCTTAAACTCATTTTGTCAGTTGCTGCCTTTCGTTCACGCTTCTAATAACTATCTGTATTCATGCTTATAGCTAAACCTGATTCCATTTCAAAACAAATGTGCACACTCCCTGGGGCTCAATGCCATTGGTGGGTCAATATTAAATATTAAATTATTAAGTCAGGGATATGAGAAACAATGAATTAATTTTGAAGAAGCCACATCAAGCTGGACCCACCTTAGCCACTCTGTCCTCTCTTTCAACAGTCACGAATCCCCCTGTGAGGTGCAGCGCATCGTGCGTGGTTGGGCTGATGTGAATCATTGACCCTGTAATAAAGGTCAGTAATGTTTTAATTCATTGTCCTTAAAAAGTTCATTGTCCCCCAAAACCAAAGAACATATTTATATTTATGAACATATACATTTAAAGATAAAACATCAGGGCAAAAGAATACCCAGTCTATAACATCCCTAGAAACAGACCCCAATCTGAATAAAGAGAAAACTAGCTACGGAAGTTTTAGTAGATTACTGAAAATTAGTGCTGACACCGGGTGTTCCCGAAGAGGGGACAGCTGTCGTACCGGTAGCACCCGCCATTCAAACAATATATTCATATAGCCTGACACCACGAACCAGTACTCCTACATGCAACGGCGTCCTGTAAAACAAATCAGACAATCCATTGACTGATGGAAAATTCAATTTGATCATTTTGAATTACGACGTTTTGGAAAAGGATTTACAGTGGGGGTCAGTATTAATGTCGCTGAAATAGCGTATCTTATAATGTTTATCTTCATTGTGAGGTAATGGTGAATTTCGTGGACTTCAGAAGACGAACAGAAACATGAGCCCAGTTCAAGTAAATATAGAACGTCCCTGACAAAATATACACCAGTCTTGACAACCCAAACAGATTCCAAACCAGTTTGCACTTTGTGGAAACCTATTGTTGTATAATGTCGAAAACAAAACATAGATTTATCTGTAAGTTGCAGAGTTCTGATATATTTAAGTGAGGTGAGGTGAGGTGAAATTGGGTTTAACGTCGTGCTTGAAAATATTTCGCTCATATGACGACGTGCATGCGTGTGTATGTGTATGTGCGGCTGCTTGTACTAGCCCAGACTGGTTTTATAGTGCTAGCTCACTGAGATACCATTCCGCAGTGAAGCATGAATACCCCACTCAGACACAGTATACTGACCAGTCCTTGTTGTACCCATTAATGCCGAGCGCCAGGCAGGGACCAACAAGTACCATATTTTAACGTCTTTTGGTACGACGCTGTCGGGGGATCGAACCCGCGACCTTCCGCTCTCCGGGCGGACGCTCTAACCACTACACCACCGAGGCGGTCTGATATATTTAAGTACGCTACCGACTGATATCAAAGGATATGGGTTATTGACTAGTGTACTGGTTTTGTCACTGAATTATCTTAAGCCTTTTACATTTTGTTGCAAAGGTAATTTCAAAATTGTGGCCACGACATTTAAACCGAAAGCTATGTTGACGCCGTCGGATTCGATGATATGCTGATGTTGTCAGCCCAGTCAGTGAGCCTGACCACTCGATCGATGACGTATGCATGCTGCTTACCCAGAATCCTTTCGGCTCATAAACACGTATGGCTTGCGCAGCACAATCCCGATTAATCTCCTTCCTTCTCTTTAATAACAGAAATGTAGAAACATAACTTTATGTATCAGACAAGATCAAATACTCGTATACAGATCAACTCACGTTTCCCGAGAGACTCCATCTTGGCTCCTATGCTGATAGTCTTGCCGAAGAGACAGTACCTCGGCATGGTCGGGCCCACCACTGCCGCTAGACATGGACCTGAAGTGAATGAATGAGTGTTGTATAAGCCAGTAATATTGAAGTTACACCACGGCTGCCTGTTAATTATAATGCCATTCCAGTGGTTGATAGCATGAAGACCGAACGGTGTCCATGGGCAACAATGGCACAGAATTAGCCATCAGTAGTAGTAGAAGTAGAAATTATTTGTGAATAACCATCGATAATTGAACTCAGTTATCGTAACGTTTTCTGAAAAGACAGAAGATCAAAAGCTCTTCCGTATCCTCCACAGGATCTGCTAATCACGGGTTCGATTCCCAATTCCGACCATACGCAAAGAACTATTCCCGTGGGTGCTTCGCGAAACGCATGAGCACCACGTTAGCCATTCAAAATTATCTTCACATTTTGAGTTGACATGCCATGGTGTAGTTTATATGGTCTAGATATAAGATACCGAGAATTTACTTACTCGCTTTTACCCCATAAACGTATGCACAGAAAAACAAAATCGAGTTGAGCGCCTTCCCCAGTATTTCTTCTCCCGTACACGTAATGCATGGATGATCTTCAGACGAACTTTGTTATGTCGAAGTTACAGCTGTCTCGAAGTAAAAGCTTCCTTATTTGGTCATTAGTTTGCGGTTGTGTTGAACACCGGATAATTCGAATTATTACTCGCCCGTGGAAGATACTGCAGTGTAATATTTTTACGGCAATATTACACTAGTGTAATACCGCTGGACATATGACGTCACAATGCAAATGTCTCTGTCGCAATGGTATTAGACCTTGCTTGACTCGTGGAATTTGACATGAGAGTCATCACACTGTAGGCAGTTTCTATCAATTTATGTTGGAGAGTAATAAACAGAATACTAAACACGCTTCCGTGAAGTATTTACGTAGGTCCCTTCAACTTCGATACATTAATGTTTGAATGTAAATGGTTTCGCGCTGAGCGAGGCCTTCATATAACGGCCTTTTCAAATGTATTTCAAACTGGTTTGGCGTTAACAATCTGATTGCCGCATTCGTCATTTTTGTCTTCTGGAAGGATTCATTAAATTTGAATGAAGTGTGAACTTACCAGTATGACATCCAACCCTCAGTTTAAACTTTGTGCCCGGCAAGTGAGGTATTTCGAGTTGACCAATATTTCTCATGATGTCCAGCGCCATCTTGCCGATCTCAGCTGCATGACTGTGATCGTTCCGGTTCGGTATCCCTGACAACCAAGAATGGTATGCAGTCATGATTCATCAAAATTGTTTTGAAAAATTCATAAGAATTGGCAATTTAATCCATGAAAGCACATTCTGTCTACCCCACAAATGACATTGAACTTTTTGAGTCAACCAAGTCAGTGAGCCTGACCACCTGATCCCGTTAGTCGCCTCTAACGACAAGCATGGGTTACTGAAGATCAATATTCTAACCCGGACCGTCACGGGTTAGCATAAACCGAAACGTCGCTATTGTACAATAAAGAAGTTATTCATCCAGAAAGACTTGTCATTCCTAAAAAATGAGATTGTTTCAAGGTGAATTTATTAAAACAACATTGAGGCTCAACAACAAATAATTGGACCCAGAAGGGTGTGCAGGTTCATTTTGTTTGATATCTTTGAATGGCATTAAAGCACTATATCACACCACACCTCTCTAAAATAAATAATGCATTTCTCTCAATAATACTAACCATCGGGGAAGCTACCATATGATTTATTCCAAAGAAAATGACGCATTTAGATTAGAATATTAAATTAAAAAGTTCGAATGAATTAATGCAACGTTGCATTAAATCGACTCTCGCACCCTCTACCGGCCAAACATTATTTCAAGCGAACCCCAAAGAGTTATGTCCATTGGAACGCTCTTTACGAATATCCTACGGGATGAAATCTGGAATATTGCAGAGCGCGGCTTGAAAAGCAAACCAAGAAACACAGAGAAGTCGTATATCCAAAGACCCGTGAAGGTCCGGGTTAGAATGTACCTTCAGAAACCCATGCTTGTCGTATGAGGCAACAGACGGGATCGGGTGGTCAGGCTCGCGGTCTTGGTTGACACATGTCATCGGTTCCCAGTTGCGCAGATCGATGCCTATGCTGTTGATCACTGGATTGTCTGGTCCAAACTCGATTATTTACAGACCGCCGCCATATAGCTGGAATATTGCTGAGTGAGGCGTAACTAAACTCACTCACTCACCCATGCACACACAGTTGAATAATATGGGAGGTGGGGTAGCCTAGTGGCTAAAGCGTTCGCTCGTTCACCGAAGACACGGGTTCGATTCTCCACATGGGTACAATATGTGAAGCCAATTTCTGGTGTTCCCCGCTTTGATATTGCTGAATGCGGCGTAAAACTCAACTCACTCGTATATCAAAAGAATTATCTCCCTTGTTTATTTTATATTTTTAGAACAGGAAATTAACATACCCGAGACAATCATGTAAGCATCGCCAATGGTTTCCACAGTATAGACATCGTACTCGGCAATACGTTCATTGAAACACAGATATAGGCTGTTGAGCATGCTCACGACCTGCAGTGGGGAACTTCTGGCCGTGATGAGCGTGAACCCCTGGATGTCAGAGAAAAGGATGGTGGCCTCGCTGTAATGTTCTGCTCCCACGATTTCATTCTGTTTCATTTTCTCCGCCACTGATTTTGGGATCATTTGATAAAAGAGCATCTCAGTTCGCTTCTGTTCCTTTATCCAAGGCTCTTGCTCTGAAGAGAAGGGTGGGTAGATGAATTGAACAGTTGTATTACAACGCAGGAACTTTTTGTGGTCGTGACGTAGACATTGCCAATTTAGTGGAATATACAAGCACGGGTTTGGTGCAGGTAGACCCTCGATCATAATTAATCTCTGTCAACTAATACTTGTCTATAGGAGATGTATTCAATATGATATGTTTGATATATCTTTCTTTCCAGTTCTGTATCTACTTCTTTGCATTTGGTGTTTATGCACATAGGGTGTTGGGGTATCCCAGTAGTTAAAGCGTTGAACCCTAGTTCAAATCCCCAAAATGTGTGAAACCCAGTTCGTGGTCCCCCGCCATGATATTGCTGGAATATTGCCAAAAGTGGCATTAAAAGCCACTCATTCACTCTTTTGTGCATTGGTAATTTGCGAAATGTTTAGATACAAACAACAAAAATCATATGAAACCATTCCACGAGTTCGGGACTATATCATAATCATCTCAATAATCATTCATCTCATTGAATCTGATATAAATCATTCTTCCAACACTGGGTCACGTCCCTCAAAGCAGTAGAAGCGCTATGGTAACTGCGATTCCCAAACTATCGCAACGCACAACAGCTAAGTACAACCAGAAATTATTGAGAATTTAAGATTGTAATTTTTTTATCTTTTTTCACTCATTACTCACGTATCAAATGTGAATATTAGCAGAACATAACTCCAGATTCAAAGACAGGTGAACAGTTGGTATTTTGTCATGTCACCATGGGCAGCAATGCAGGCGTCAATGCGACGGGGCATACTACTGATCAAAGAAGTTAGAAAGTCTCGGTCCATGCTGTCCCAATATCGGACCACCTCTTCTTTCATTTCAGCAATAATTTTGTCAGATTTTTCTTATTGACACTTTCCTTCATAAGTCCCCAAACATTTTCTATTGGATTTAGGTCAGGGCTATAGCTTGGCCAATCTAATAATGTTATATTTTGGGTCCGAAACCAGGCCTGTGAATGCTTTGAACGATGTTTTGGGTCGTTGTCCTGCTGGAAAATCCAAAAATTTCCATAGAACACGTGAGCAGATGGAAGTAAATGTCCCTCGAGAATATCTGTGTACCGCTCACTGTTCATATTTCCTTCAAATACACAGAGGGGCGTTGCCCCTAACACAGATATGCCACCCCACACGTTAAATTTCGGACTGTACTTTGGGCGCTGATACAAAGGTTTTTCAGTTTGTTTGGTCCAAAATTTCAGTGTATTAGGAAACAGCCACACAGAACTTTCATCTGAGAAAATCACATTGTCCCAGTTAAAATTTCTATGCTGTAAGCACCAGTTCAACCTTCGCTCCTTTTGTTCAGGTTTCATGATCGGTGATGGAATTGCTCGACTTTTCTGCCAACCCATTGCATGCAGCTCAGTTCTAATTGTCTCCTTACAGACAGCCACAGTTCCTCTATCAATATCCAGCCTTAAGTTTTCTAAACTCCTTCGTTTGTTTTTAGAAACAAGAATACCAAGCCGCCTCCTGTCACCGACAGTCAATTTTCTGGGCCTACCTGCGCCTCCCTGGTGCTCAATGCCATATCCATTTGCAATATTTTTCAAAACACGATAAACAGTGGACAAAGGGATGCCTGTTCTACTTGAAATCACTTTAGCTGATCTGATGTCCTTGTTATAATACTCTAAAATCAACTTCCTCTTCTCTAAATCATCCATACTGAGGATCACTGAAAATGTCGTCTGCTAGCAAGTAAACAAAGGGGGATAACTCTTCACAAACTAATGAAAAAGGATTAACGGAGTTGTCTCTCTTGAATGAAACCAAGCACTTGATAGCTGGTCAAGGTTGTTTATACTAGAAATCCAATTAAACATATTCCTAAAATTCTAAATAATTTCTGGTCATACTATATGTGGAGCATGCCCGCGACCCTACCTCTTAGTAAGGGCGGTTGAGTACTGCTGTATCTCGTTCGTCAGGGAATACATGGTGTATATGATGACTGGGCAGAGGATGAAGACACAGGCCAGGACGAAGGATATGCCCATGACTCTGTTGAAGGTGTAGATCTGTCCTTCGTCCATGATCTGCGTGATCTCCTCTGACAAGTCCGTCTGGGTCGTCAATAGGAGATCCATGTACATCGTCATGTTGTTGAACCACCACTGTGCCATCTTCACCGACCCCTTGCCCATCAGGTCGTTCCGGCGAATCTCGGCCCTCATCCTGCCCAGGACGTCCAGGAGCATCTCATTACCCTGTGGAGCAGAATATCCCAGGAGGTTAAAATCTCCAGGGGCTGAAATTTGGTTGAAGGATGGGATTCCCTTTAAAAGGTACTCAGATCTGACACAAAATGTACTGGAACATGCTGGATGAACTCAGGAAGTTCTTTACAGCGAATTGTGCAAGTGATCAATCTTCCTGCAGTAAGGGGCGGTGGGGTAGCCCAGTGGTTAAAGCGTTCGCTCGTCACGCAGAACACCCGGGCTCGATTCCCCACATGGGTACAATGTGTGAGGCCCATTTCTGGTGTCCCCCACCGTAATATTGCTGGAATGTTGCTAAAAGCGGCGTAAAACTAAACTCAATTTACTCTTGCAGTAAAAGATTTAGATCTGTGTAAACTGGAACTGCAATGCCAGGGGCCATTTCTTGATGTATCAAAATAACGCTTTGTTCAGCTGCTGACATTTGCTGGCATGCTTCATGTTTGAATCTACCAGCAGTTGCATCTGTGCTGAGCAGCTTGCTGATATGGCAGCAGAACTCCTTTGCTATATTTCCTAAAGCGTCCCGAGAAACCATTGGGACTTTATCACCTGTATATTGATACACGATACAACTTCATCTCTTAATCACTTCTTTTCAGGAGCTGGTCATATTACCGATTTCGGTTAAAGTCACATATGCGGATAAATGGACAAAGCAAATATAAGAATTTGTAATGTTTAAATGTTTTCAAGAAGGTGTTTTTATTTGAACATAGGCAAATGTTTGGCCACCATCTGGTTTAGGACGGGATTGTTCAAACAATTTTAAATATTGCAATGCTGAGGTTAAAGAATTAATTTCAGTTCCCAGTGATCTAAAAACAACCAAGGGTATAAGACACGTGCATTCAGCTGTCTACAAAGGACACTTTTCGTCCCTTACCTTGTAAAGATACCATGACTGTGTACATGGAATTAGTACTTACATGGATGTTCTTCTCGTACAAAGCATGGACTAATCCTGAGTATCGCCTAGCCGACAGGAACGTAGCATTTGTGACATCCTGGCTCTCCGAGAACCACAGGTGCGCGTCTCTGGACGGGAACCTGCCTGTTGCGTAGAAGACGGTGCCCAGCGCTCGTTCCAGTCCCATGTACTCCTTCGCCACTATGACCTCTTGGTAGGCCACCAAGCTTCTCCAGATAGCCCCGGAGTGGTCTTCAGTGACGGCATCGTACAGCCACGAGATGAACACACTGATCAACGACGTGTACATCTCCAACTCCATCGTCACCGACTGATTGAGTGTATCTAGCTCATACCTTTGTTAATTGAAACAAAAGAGACAGTTAAGTGTCAGCATTGTTCATTTCCGAGTCGTAGTCCAGGTATAGCAGGTAATGAGTGATTGATTGATTGATTGATTGATAGAGTGAGTGAGTGAGTGAGTGAGTGAGTGAGTGAGTGAGTGAGTGAGTGAGTGAGTGAGTGAGTGAGTGAGTGAGTGAGTGAGTGAGTGAGTGAGTGAGTGAGTGAGTGAGTGAGTGAGTGAGTGAGTGAGTGAGTGAGTGAGTGAGTGAGTGGTTGAGTGGTTGGTTGGTTGGTTGGTTGGTTGGTTGGTTGGTTGGTTGGTTGGTTGGTTGGTTGGTTGGTTGGTTGGTTGGTTGGTTGGTTGGTTGGTTGGTTGGTTGGTTGATTGATTGATTGATTGATTGATTGATTGATTGATTGATTGATTGAGTGAGTGCATGTGTGAGTGAGTGGGCGAGCGAGTGAGAAATATTCCGACCTACGCCATGATGCTGAATTATTTAAAAAAGAAACAACCCATACTGACATACTGACTCACACAACCGTAAAATGTCTCTTTACTTCTCACATTTTCGGTATGCTCACCTGTGTCTGTTGAGGTAGGATAAGAACTTGTCCTTAGACTGGAACTCCGGAAGGACGAGGGTTGGTCCAGTTGTCCAGAAGGTCAGCTTCTCGAGAGACTTATCAGTCTCTGGATACCGACGAAGAAGTAGACTCTTTGTCTTCTGCTCGATGGAACTGAGGTAGAGGGCGCTAATGTCCCGCTCTTCCTGAAGCGAATGGATCACCGTACCCAGTTCGACACTGTACAGCAAAGTGGCGCGAATACCGAACGACTGAACGTACCTGGTGAACGTGTGGAAGAAGGTGTTTCCGATGAGGGCCGTCAGCACAGCCACTGGGATTATGACTATGGAAATTGTCTTGAGCAGCTGACGGGGCTTGCCTGCGATCCGGGCTTGGCTGTCTGTTGATAGTATATTTGTAATAATAATTACAATTTAAAAAAAGAAGAAAAAGATCAGGTATTTGGCACTTAGGAAAAATTTGCTTCAGTCATCTTGATTTTGTTGAATTACTGAATTAACTGATAATATTACTATAGGTGTTAAACACGTCACTGAACACATATCAAATTTGTATTGTTAGAAATTAGAAATTGAGAAATATCAATAAGATACGATAAAAGTCCGCCGTTGTATACAATAGGCCTTACCATAACGGAAGCTGGTGGGTTAGGCATTTGTCTGAAGGTCTTTTCTTGAAAATATATTTCCAAATGAACAATGACTCACTCACATATGCCTGTTTTTATTTGTGGCATAAACATATGACAAATAGTAGAAAACTAATTCAAACCCTGAAGTAGAACTGATGTTCAGCAACCTTTAGCGACAAACACACAGATCAGTCGTAATCCTGGCGACAAAGAAAGACAAGTCTTCCTTTCAGCCCAGACACCGTCAACACATCAAAACATCTGTATGGCAGGGGAACATACAAATACGAAACGCTTTGAACCTAATTAACCCGAATTGAAAATGTTTCTTTTTCTTAAACCTGTTTTTGGCTCACCTCGACAAAACTGCTCGCACTGGTTTCGAGCCGGGTACATCTGCAGCATATCCCTTATTGCCAGGTTGAGCTGGGACGAGTTCAAGGAGTCCGTGTCCCCCTCTGTGTTGTCCGTGGCTCCTACCCTCGCTCCCCATTTGGCCGTCCATGGCATCGTCTGAATGGCATTAAAGTTCTTCAAACAATGTAAATATTCTTTTGAACGAACCCGTGAAGGTCCGGGTTAGAATGAACCTTCAGTAACCGATGCTTGTCGTAAGAGACGTCTAACGGAATCGGGTGGTCAGGCTCGCTGGCTTGGTTGACACATGTCATCGGTTCCTAATGGCGCAGATCGATGCTCATGCTGTTGATCACTGGATTGTCTGTTCCAGACTCGATTATTTACAGACCGCCGCCATATAGCTGGAATATTGCTGAGTGCGGCGTAAAATTAAACTCATTCACACATTTTTTAACAAACCCTGGAGTGTGGCGGGGTAGCTTTGTGGCTAAATGGTCATGCCACAGGTTAGGGTTCGATTCCCCACATGGGTACAATGGGTGAAGCCCATTTCTTTGTGTCCCCCGCCGTGATATTACTGAAATATTGCTAAAAGCGGCGTAAACCATACCTTACTCACTCACTCCAGGCCTAAACTTAGGGTTCAAAACCCTACATGGAACATTGAGACAGTGAGTGAAGTTCCGTCGCGATATTATAAGAATACTGCTACATGTAACTGCTGAGTAAATGTATACCCACTCACTTGTCAAGACTCAAATTATATCAAAATACCCTCATCTAGTGTTAAGGCCACTTACAGTTTTGAATCAGTTGTATGACAAAGAAGACAATTTAAACGCTCTTCGTCCGAGAGTTTGATTTATTTATGTAACCGGCTCCTTAGTCAAGTGGAAATCGTAAATATATGGTACTTGTTGTTACCTTGCCTTGTGCGCGACACGAAGGGGAGAGACCAAGGACTGGTCTGTCGAAGTCAGTGCAAAGTGTATGGTAGCCATGTTTGAACCCTGGCGTTCTATCTCAGTGATATTACGCTGTAGAACCTGTTTATATCCGGACCAGTGCCCAGTCACACGCAAGTTCATGAACGTTGCCATACAAGAGCAATTATCACTATGCGACGTTCAAAATTCACAACACAAACCTTTCTCTGATTGACTGACTGACTGACTGACTGAGTTTAGTTTAACGCCGCTTTTAGCAATATTCCAGCAACATCACGGCGGGGGACACAAGAAACATTGTACCCATTTCGGGATTCGAACCCGGGTCTTCGGCGTGACGAGCCAACGCTTTAACCACTAGGCTACCCCACCGCCCCTTTCTCTGATTGAAAGAATATTGTACAAGGACAGCTCTGACCATCTACGAATATTAAGTTTACTACATCTTCGTAAATTATGTACCATTCAGTTAATATTTATTGATATCGTTATAAGATTTAGAATGAAATGTCCACACTACTCTCATACATACCTTTGCGATATCCGTCTCCGGTGCTAGTTTGCTTGTCACAATACAAACTTTGGGTGTATATTTCTACAGAATATCTCTCCGTTGAGACGATTCCATTCACAAATGTGTTAAACCTGGTACCCATAGTAACTGTCATCTGAAAATAACAAATGTTGTCATGGCAACAGGTGCAGATTTCACACATCCACCAAACAGTTGATGTCAACAGTTGACGCCCATGAGTGTTGTGTTGAACTGAGGGTATTAATAGAAAGCAGTAAAATGACGTTAGAGATAAAAACATTTTGCTCTTATTTTGACAAGAATATAATCTTGTACCCCAGACAATCAGACAATCATACCGAAAAGAGAAACAAGATAAGGGAACACATGAAAGAACAAGGTTCCTTTATTCCTTAGGTACCTTAAGAAGAATATATAATGATAAAAGGGTTGCATTCGTGTACCACCAGACAATCATACACGAAGAGAAACAAATAAGGGAACATATGAAAGTACAAGTGTTCCTCTATTCCTTAGGTACCTTAGGACAAGAATGTATAATAATAAAAGTGTCGCATTTGTGTACGATCAGACAATTATGTACGAAGAGAAAAAAAAGGGAACGCATGAAAGTACAAGTGTTCCTTTATTCTTTTTCAGGTACGTCGCAAGCTGTGTATTGCACTGTGGGTAAAAATCTAAGAATATATAAAGTATAGTCTAATAAAATTAATGATTATATGCTCGATCCTTTTTTTCACATTTCAATCGTTTTCAATTTAATTAATGGGAATAAACTGTATCGTGATCACTTTCAGTAAGTCAGCTCCGCTTAATGTTTACAATTATTTAATTATCCAGTTGAATTAAAGCAAAAATGTAAATGTCCTTATAACCAATTTCTTCAACTGAAACACCTAACAGGTTCATAGATGTGCATACGGATTTGAGATGAAAACATATGCGTTCCTGCATGCCTATTATGCGTGCGTGTGTGTGTGTGTGACGCCTTTGTGTATATCTGTCTATGAGAATATCTTTCTGCGTGTATGCGTGAATGTATGTGTGTGTGTGTGCCGTGTGTGTGTGCGCGCGCACGAGTGTTCGTGAAACTTAGGAATAACATGTAGGAAAATGTAATGTAAATAATCGATCGATACTGATTTTAGTGAGACATTATGTTAATATGACTGTACGTCGTTTTCAGCAACATTTCAGCATTACCAGGGAGTCGAAAACAATAAATGACCTTCACACCTTGTATAGCATAACATTGCAGCAGGCAAAGATGGACATAATTGCCGCCCGTGGACGTAATATTTTGCTAAACACCTCAAAATACTAAACGTCGAAGTAAGTGAGCGAGTGACTTTCTTTTACGCCGTTTTTAGCAATATCCCAGCAATATCACGGCAGGGGACACCAGAAATGGGCTTCACACATTGTACCCATGTGGGGAGTCGAACCCGGATCTTCGGCGTGACGACAGAACGCTTTAACCACTTGCGTACCCCACAGCCCCAAACGTTGAAGTAAACAGTACAGCTTATACACACGTGTTTTATGTAAGTATCACGTAATTGACGAGACCCATCATAAACCTTCACACATAGTACTGATATTGGGAATCGAAATGAGGCAAACTGGTTACCCACTCTGCTACCCGCCTTTTAAAGTTGAAAATATGGCGGGGATAACACTCCGAGACATTTTAAAGATGGCTCTGTAAACGTTCAGCAGTACTTTTGCGTCCTTTGACAATAATAGTTCTGAGCAAAACTTCGTAGTCCAAGGCAAAACTTTGTACTTCAGTGCGAAACTTTGTAGTTCGGGACAGAACTTTGCATAGGGTAGAGCTGACTCTTTCTCGAATATGAGAAATCTCGTGCTGTAAGGAAGCTAATAATAAAACAAGCCTTTACAGTAACTCAAATTTGTGTCATGATGTTTATAACCACCATTTGTTTTGGAAACATCGAGTTTTGAGGTAAATATTCTCACCATGGGCATATTTTTCGCCCTCTGGGGAGATTAGACTGCGCTCTAATTATGTCTTCATGAGCATGTGGGACGATGCTAAACATACACTCATTCATTTGACTCCAAAACTGAGTTTGGAAATTTTACGCCGCTTTTAGCAATATTCAGCAACATCATCCGGCATATATTCATAACAACTGCATGAAATGGGCTCAAATCCCTTGTCAAAGTGCCCACAGTGCGGAGAGTTTCGGACTTTGTGAGTCAGAATTTTGGCGTATTAGTTTGATTGAGCCAACGCTTTAACCACATGAGGATACCCCACCGTCCCCAGGGACGGCTATAAAACGGACACACCCACGCAGGCAGGCGCATCGTCGTGCACGTCAGTAATCTTGAACGCCAGGTTAGGCTCTACATGTATTTTACCTCACTTTCAGAACCCGAGAAGATCTAGGTATGACGCAGAGGGTAATGTAATTTATTTCGTCTTCAGTAACCCATGCTTGTCGTAAGAGGCGACTCACGGGTGGTCAGGCTCGCTGACTTGGTTGACACATATGTCATCGTGTCCCAGTCGCGTAAATCGCCGCTCATGCTGTTGATCACTGGATTGGCTGGTCCATACTCGAATATTTACAGACCGCCGGCATATACCTGGAATATTGCCGAGTGCGGCGTAAAATAACCAACCAAACCAACCGCCGAACCTCTCTTTCAGAACAAAGGGAAGGAACCGAGGCATGACATTGGCGACATCATTGAATGAAGCGTGTATAAAATATTCACGTTGACATCAGCATTAGTGGTGGTCCGATTAATTGAAATAATCGAAGATTGGTCGCAGTGACTAAACGACCAAGCTATCGAACATGTTTTCTCGTAATCGAACACGACCAATCTTGGACCACTTGTTTGCATTAACAATATTTTTCACAAGGCTGTTTTTTTTCTGTGTCATTACATTTACATTTCATAAGCACTACAAGTCATGATTAAATTTATCTTAAAGAATCCAGGAAATATGTGTTCCTAACATACTAATCATCATTTAAATATGCAAATTTGCAAATGGACTTTATGCAATTTGCAAAAAAACCAAATTACTACATGTTTTTTCTTTATTTTTTGTGTGTGCATTAACAAAAATAACAGGAACATTAGATAAATGACGCTAACCAATTATTTTCGATGATTGATCGGTTGTAATAGACCAATCATCAATTATTAGACTTTAACCAATTCCCAACACTAATCAGCATGTGTCTCTGTTTACTGCCATGGTGCAACCATGTTGTGGTATAACACTGATATGAATATAATTTATTTATTATATGATATTTATATAGCGCACATATCCACGCAACTAGTACTTGCTCAAGGCGCTGTTTTCCTCTCGATCATTGGATGTCGATGTCAACGGCACACCGTATTATCAATCTCAACTGCCTGGAGAGCATACAATTCTTGCAGCCTCTACACGCACCAAGTTATCATGGCTTTCCTATCCTTGCGAGTGGACTGGGAAACAGCTGGGTGGACTGCGACACATAGTCACAGTACTTTGTCCAAGTTGACTGCACGTTGCTCTTACTTTACGTAATACAGGTCATCAGGTGTTCAGATTTCCAAACGTTAAATGCAATAAACTAGAAGTTCTTATACAGAAAGTTGTAGTTTTCTTAATATTTATTCACCAACTTCTAAAA